ATAAAGCTAAAACACTATCAATCAAGTGATTGGCAGGCCATCGTGACAATGATGTAGCTTATCTAACCATAGAGATAATAGAGTGCGTGGCGCACCTCAAAAATGTGTTGATCAGTTTTCCTTTTACAAGACAGTAGACAGTGGGATAAGAGATAATGTGAGTCGCGGAGGGAAAAAGAAGTACGTGTCGAGAGAGCATAGCACGCTGACATCACGACACGGCCAGAATATAGAATGGGGGCGGGCACGGATTGTTTTGGGCGTAGGAGGACCCAAATCCTGACCGCCTAGCGTGGCGCGTTTAGAGGTGCGAAAATGGGTCTAACACTACAGTGGTGGTCCTAGCACCTATTCCACGGGGGGGGGCTTCTTCACTGTGGCTAAGCCCGACCCTTGCCTTTAGCGTTTTTCACACACAAACGTGATCGATTGCTCGTTTAGCTTTTCCAAAAGCGTGTTTTTAACCAGACCGGCCCTTCGAAGAAAACCAGTAGGAAGCATCCAAAGTTCAGCACAAAGATGTAGTTTCCAGTGTGACTTATCCTGCACATTTCCAGACTCCCAGACGCGTCCTAAAGGTGTATGGAACTGTGCAGAATACGTCTTACTGGCAGTACTAATGTAAGTGGGTTAGGGGGGGGGGGGGGGGCCACGCGGCGGCGCGGCAGTCTGCTCACCTGGGCTCTCTCGAGCGAGACAGTGTAAACTCGAACATTCCAGCTTTTCACGCATGTCAAGTGACTGCCCCACCCCCCCCCTAGACTGCCTACACTCCCCCTGGCTCACGGATTTCCGAAAGTGCCAGGCGAGCGAAGTGCCGCGTCGCCCCCAACCCACTTAGCACCTTACTGGCTCCCATTACTGGCTCCCACGGGCATTCCTAGCTCCCAGACGCGTCCAGAAGGACAAGAATTCAAAAAGAATCTGTACACTCACATTCATCTTCGAGCATTCGCAGCTCAGACGAATCAAATGCGGCGGCTAGAGCAACAGTCAGCAACAGAGCGCACGTCTGCAGCATTGGCCGAGTTTGAAAC